GAGTGTGAGTGTGTGTGTGTGTGAGTGAGTGTGTGTGTGTGTGTGTCCTGTGCGTGTGCGTGCGTGTGTGTCCTGTGTGTGTGCATGCGAGTGTGTGTATGATTGTGTGTGTGTGTGTGTGAGTGTGTGTGTGTGTGTGTGTGACTCACGTTGGTGGGGTCATCTGGCTGCTTCTGTCCGTCTTCAGCCGTCTCCGGAGCGGTCGGCACTGAAACAGGCAGTAACGGAGAGCGGGCCTTCCCAGCCTGACCCAGCGAGGCCGTCTTCACCTGCGGTTTGGGTAAACTCCCACCTGTGAGCAGAGAAACACACAGAAAACATCAACACACGACTCATCCTCAAACCTCCACGAGTTTCTTTCTTCAGAAGGAGATATTTTGAAGAACCAAACAGGTGATGGTCTCCACTGACTTCCATAGTATGAAAAAAAAACACAATGTAAGTGGATGGCTACCGTCAACTGTTTGGTTTCCAACATTCTTCAAAATATCTTCTTTTTGTGCTCAACAGAAGAAAGAAACTCATACAGATTTGAAACAACTTGAGTAAATGATCTTTTTAAGACAACTAACGGAAATGATATTATTACCACATTTTCCGGAGTATAAGTTACTTTTTTATCATCTATAACATGCTGTGAGTTATAATTCAAAGCGACTTGTATAATGCAATTAAAATCAAGTATGCAAAGCTTTTGGAAGTTTACTTGTGCATTTCCCTGAGTTTTCCTTTAAATAAAATAGTTTTAGGCTTGCCGTTTATAAAGCAATTTTTTTATAAAGTGAATGAGATCAGGATGAGTTTGTTTCTTCATCAGGTTTGTAGAAATGTAGCATTGCATCAGTGTCTCAGCAATGGATGCTCTGCAGTGAATGGGTGCCGTCAGAATGAGAGTCCAAACAGCTGATAAAAACATCACAATAATCCACAGCACTCCAGTCCATCAGTTAACATCTGGAGAAGACAAAAGCTGAAACACATCCAGCATTAAGACGTTTTTAACTCAAATACATTGAGTCTATAATCCATAATAACGCTTCCTCCAGTGAAAAAGTGTTCTGGTCTGAATCAGGAGAGAAATCTGCACAGATCAAGCAGCGTTTAAACAGCTCTAAACAAATATGTGGCTGGATTTTGATGTTTGACAGCAGATGCACTTTTTCACTGGAGGAAGCCATTTCTCCAAATCGGATGGAGAAACAAACTCATCCTAATCTTGGATGACCTGAGGCTGAGAACATTTAAAGCACATTCTCATTTTTTGAGTGAACTACTCCTTTATATGCCAATGCGACTTATGTGTGTTTTTTGTTCTCTTTCAACAATGCAATTTCCACTTTGTGCAACTATCAAGAAAACAAGGTAGTTACAAATTATTTTCATTATTTTCAGCACCAGGAACAGCCCGATCCCACCGACCCTGAATGCCACAAAATCAAGAGGAAAAATGAATGTAGTTAAAGGAGCCAAATCCAGATCTCCATCCAGAGCTCCACTGGCAGACCTCCAGACGAGAGAGAGACACAGAGAGAGAGAGAGAGAGAGACAGACAGAGAGAGAGAGAGAGCGAGAGAGAGAGAGAGAGAAAGAAAGAAA